TGCAGGCGCCTTGGCGCACTACCACAACACTCTTCAACTTGTAGCCCGAAACAATTCTGTGCTCCTGAATCTCCTCTCTTGTCGCTTCTTGTCTGTCAACTACTCCACTGGTACGGCTTTGTAACAGCATCCTTCAGCTTTTACATCATACTTTCCGGACTGACTCTGTTGGTAGCTCAGCAGAACCACTTAGGGCTGATAGTTATCAATATCAATGCGATAGCCTTGCCAGCCTGTTCCCGTCCCTCTTGCCCGTTGTCCCAGGGCAAGTTTATTTTACGCTCTTACGACAGTGAACGAAAACAGCCATTGCTTGCTTTCAAATCGATTGCTTCTACAGCACTTCAGTTGCCTTGGAAGACTTAACGGAGGATTGCTCTGATAACTCGACTGGAGTTAGCATGAGATAGAACGATGGAAACTTTAGCCTTGGATGACTGTGGGCTATCGAAAAATCCTTCTGGCTCTGCAGAAGGTAGGTAGACATGGTAGCCTCTAGAACAGTGGGATGAAAGTTGGAATGCGTGTGACCCAAATGCTACTTCTCTTGCTCGCTGACAAAACGGTTCCAACCCTTCATAGAATCGCCACGAACTCGTCTCTGTGATGGTTGTTCAGAGAAATCATGGGGACGAGCAATCTGGCTAGGGTTCAACACCGCCAATATGACCCTGAACCGTTACGATGACATGGAGTACAATGTCACAGTCGCAGGCCTTAGTAGTTCTGCTGATCATGGATGTTCTTGGTGTACGCTGCTGCTGGAAAACATCCTTAAGAACACCAAAGTCAGTGCCTCGACTCTACCTTGTCGAGTTTGGCTACATTTCCGAGCCCAGCCTAAGGGGAACTGGCCACCGCTCATCAACCTCCTATCCGTCAACATCGCTTGCGAAGACGAAGAGTATGTATGTGAGATCGTGCTAGGCGCATTTACCGCGTCCCGTAAGCTTTCTCCGTGATTTATTTGTTTGAATGGGTTGAAATAGCCCTCTTTACCTCTGTAGGGACGCATGCGGCAGACTTTTTTCTGTCGATACCGGAGCGCAAAACAGCACCACTGGGCTTCAATGTTGAGAGATGTCAGAAGTGGCTCCACGCGTGTCAAAATTCTCATGACCGCTGTGCAGGTGGAAAGTCTTATCTGCCGACTCGCATACTAGACGTTGCGCCTCAGATGGGCGACTCGTACGTGGCGCTTCACGTCAGTCAGCCGAAAGAAGTGGCGGCCTATCTTGTTCTCTCATACAGATGGGGTGGGCCTCAACATATCACGTTGGCAACTTCAACGATGGAAGCCTTCTGCAACGGCATAAAGCTAGATACTCTACCGCAGACCTTGAAGGACGCAGTTGAAGTGACGAAAGGTTTCAATGTTCGATACCTCTGGGTGGATGCTTTGTGTATTAAGCAGGACTCTGCAGAAGACAAAGCAATGGAAATATCGAAAATGCATCAGTACTACAGAAACGCAAGCGTGGTAATTCAGCCAACGGGGTTGAAATCAGTGCAAGATGGCTTTCTTGGAAAAAACATAAACGCCCCACACAAGCCAGATATTGCGCCCACGACTAATCCGAAGATACTCGAAGAGTACTTCATCAGGGTACCATTTTTCACCCTGAATGGCATTGAAGATTCAATACTTCTACAAAGTGATCCTACGATGTACGAGCCCAGAAACGAACCTCTCAACCATCGCGCTTGGGTTCTTCAGGAGCGCCTCCTGGGTCGTCGACTGTTAATATTTCCTTCCAGCGGAGGGCTTGTGTGGCGATGCGAACTATACGAGCAAACCGACGGTCGAGTCTATATGTCGAAGGCGGCGACTGAAGGACGGGAACGCGTAATGCGTCAAACGTCGCAATCGCTTCAGCCGCAGGAGATCCACTATTCATGGAGAGCCATAATTGACTTTTATAGCGGCTGCGACATGACAGATCCGGCAGATAAACTGGTTGCGATTGGCGCGGTTGCGGACCACTACTTCGAACTTTATGGGACACAACTTGGCACATACTGCGCGGGACTGTGGTTCAATTTTTTGGTGCGAGATCTTGACTGGTATCTCCACCCGGACTCTCTGAGCGCAAGACCGAGAATATACAGAGCCCCGACATGGTCTTGGGCTGCTGTAGACGGGCAACTTGTTGACTTTTACGGCATCCGGCCAGTCGAGGACAAATGTCCTGCCAAGATCATAAGCTGTGAGACCATCCTTTCTTGCGCCCAAGCGCCCTTTGGTTCTGTCTCAGGCGGATGCCTCAGGCTTGAAGGCGCCTTGAAGAAATTCACCTGGTCTGATAATTCCGGATCCATGAGCTTGTTTGACGACCAGTCACAGATGGAATGTCCAGACTACGACCTGTCAGTTTATCCGGACAGTCTGGAAGATGTAATAATCGACAGGGAGACACTTTCTTTTCTTCTGCTACGATCCTGGTCAATGCACAATTTTGACGAAGGGAAATGGATCATGAGTGGATTGATGCTACAGCCAACGGAAGGTGGATTGCACCGGCGAACGGGAGCTTTCTTGTGTACAACATACAACGAGACGTGGTTCGATCAGTAGGAACGGTACATCATTACTCTGAATTAAGGTCTACTGATCCATCAGGTACGCAGGTAAGATGATAAGGTTTATGTAGGAGAAACGGTAGGACTTGAAGAAAATTTGAGCGGAGAGCTTTTAGATTTTCAACTCCAGACACTTCTTTTACAAAAAGGAATCAAGATTCTGAAAGTCGGTAGTAAGTTGAGCTCCTGTGTCTCCATATTCCTGCGCTTGTATTTAGGGACAGTCCCAAAGGTGCGTAAAAGGCCGCCAGAACTGCTGGGTGCGATGGGTATCAAAAGCGGTGACAAAGACCGCCACCAACAGCTTCTGAAGTCCCGAAATCTAGTTAGAGTTATTAACATGCCCAGGGCCGAAACGCCGAGCGCCGATTCGACCCTTGGAACACATTCGGGGTTGGGCAAAGGCTACCTGCCGATGGTGACCTGCATATTCAGCTATCCAGCTATTCAGCACCAAGTACCATACTCTTCAGTCCTACTCCGTAACAATACGTTTGACAGGGTTCATGCGAATCATCGTCCCCCAAAATCTATCGGTCGCCATGCCATTTCTTCTAACGTGTTGTTGAATGCTCATGTCTTCAACTTCCACAGCGTAGCCCTCAAGGCTGACGCTCACCTCAATATGATAATTTAATGAACGTTTCAAGGGAACCTTACCCCTACAAACGCGGAGATGAATGGTTCAGGACCTGTTCATGGCAGGAGATCGTCCTCGCCAATGGCACCACCGTTCATGGTCTCTGCACCGGGAAAAGTGATTGTTTTCGGTGAACATGCAGTCGTTTATGGAAAAGCTGCCATGGCAGCTGCCATTTCTCTCCGATCCTATCTCCTCGTCACCACCCTGTCCAAGTCGCATCGAACCGTCACCCTTGTCTTTCCTGACGTTGGATTGGACCACACATGGACAATTGAAGATCTGCCGTGGAGCGCCTTCGCCAATGAAGGCAAGAAGAGGAGATATTACGACATGGTCACCTCCCTCGACCATGATCTGGTCAAGGCAATGCAGCCGTACCTTGCAGACGTCTCTATCCACCTTCCCGAGCAAGAACGAAAAGTTCACCACGCTGCAGCTTCCTCTTTCCTCTACCTATTTCTGTCACTTAGCTCTCCGACTGCTCCCGCTTGCATATACACATTGAGATCCACCCTACCCATTGGAGCAGGACTAGGATCGAGTGCCAGTATCTGCGTTTGCATCAGCGCCGCATTGTTGAAGCAGATTCAGATCCTGTCTGGCCCGCATGCAGATCAACCGAGCGGAGAGGTGGACACACAGATCGAGCGCATAAACAGATGGGCGTTCGTGGGCGAGCTGTGCATTCATGGCAATCCTAGTGGCGTGGACAACACAGTGTCGACCCGAGGAAAGGCGGTGCTCTTCAAGAGAACAGACTACAACAGGCCTCCCGAAGTGACTCCGCTGAAGGACTTCCCTGAGCTACCTCTACTACTCGTCAATACCAAGCAATCACGTTCGACATCTGTGGAAGTCGCCAAAGTCGCTGCAATGAAACAGAAACATCCTACCATCACCGAAGCCACCTTGAACAGCATTGATGAGGTGACGAACTCGGCGCATGATTTGATCACATCTGAGGGTTTTGATGTTCGGTCAGATCAGAACCTGGAGCATCTTGGCGATTTATTCAGGATCAACCATGGCCATCTTGTCTCCTTGGGCGTCTCACATCCGAAGCTGGAGCATATCCGCGAGCTCGTGGATTATGCAGATATCGGATGGACGAAGCTAACTGGAGCCGGTGGCGGTGGATGTGCTATATCGCTTCTGAAGTCGAATGCAGATGCTGCCACAATCAAGAGGCTGGAAGAAAAGTTTCAAGAAGCAGGCTTTGAACAGTATGTTGTCACGCTCGGAGGTGATGGGGTTGGGGTCCTATACCCTTCAGTGTTGTACAACGGCACGGACGAAAAAGGTGGCGAAGAAATCGATCAGCAAAAGTTTCTTCGAGCTGAGGGAGCTGATGAGATTGAAAGACTGGTGGGAGTCGGCTTACACGAGAAACGAGTACAGTGGAAATTCTGGCGGTAACTGAGTGTAGAGTATGATATTCGCGCGCAGATATTGAAGCGGAGTCTACCAAGAGCATTGCGCGCTGGACGGAGTAATGGAATAAGTATCTACAATTTGAAATGACAACAACAACTACCACCGCCTGGAACTGTCGTGTGACTGTGTCTTCCACTCCGCCAAATCCCTTCCACTTTGGAGACCATCTCCTCCACACGCACTTACAGTGAGCAAGTTATTCATGCTTCTAGCAGTAGGACAATCGAGATAGGAATGGACGGCGTCGCCAGTCTGCCCTATCCTATTGTTCCCTCGCAGCACTCTCCATTGTTCTCCAGCAACCCCTCACTCCCAAGTTCTGTCACATTCCGTATATCCTTTGTTGCCTCGCCGGAGATCATGTTACACCTTTCACATATCTGACTTGTGCCTCATACCCTCTCGCTCTGGTGACCTCTTCTCCATTCTCCATCTCTTATTTCCTCCACCATGGCATACAACCACCACCCCTCCTACTCAGACAACCCCCTCTGGTCAGACATAACCCCTATCCCACTCGACGAGGGTCCCGGTCCCGGCCCAGCTCTAGCCTCGATAGCCTACTCCCCCCGCTACTCAACAGCGATGTCCTACCTTCGCGCGGTGATGGCCTCGAACGAGTATTCCGAACGCGCCTTATCCCTCACAGAAGACATCATCAGCATGAACCCAGCGCATTACACGGTGTGGCTATACCGAGCCAAGGTCATCCGGGAGATGGGGAAGGATATTCTGGAGGAACTGGCGTGGTTGGAAGGGGTCAGTCGGAAGAGCTTGAAGAATTATCAGATCTGGTATTCCAACCCCATTCCTCTCATCCGTGTTTCGAAACTACGACCGACCTACTAGCCCACCAAAGACGGTAACGATTACGATAACGAGACGATACTGATACTGATACTGATATTCCTCGACTATTGCAGGCACCACCGCCAGACCCTAATGTCTACCCTCCCCAGCCCGCCCGCAACCGAACCCGAATTCCTCACCAAGATCCTCTCCCTCGACTCCAAAAACGCCAGTGGCTCGTCTCGCGCTTCGACCTCTTCGACTCGCCCACCGAACTCGCCGCGATCGAAACCCTCCTCCGCGAAGACGTCCGCAACAACTCAGCATGGAACCACAGGTGGTTTCTGTGTTTCGGAAAGGACGAGTTGAAGTACGGGAGAGGAGGCAAGGCAGGAGTGGTGGTAGACGAGGATCTGATCGATCGGGAGGTCGCGTTCGCGCAGGAGAAGATCCTTCTGGCGCCGCAGAATCAGAGTCCGTGGAATTATCTGCGGGGGTTGTATCGCAAGGCGGGCAGGCCGCTGGCGGAGCTGAGGGCGTTTGCCGAACAATTCGCCGCTGCGCAAGATGCTGACGACGACGACGACGACGATGACAATGATGATGAAGAGAATGAAGGGGCACAAGTTGGACGGGAACGGGAACTCGATCTGGAGGAAGGCGTGCGCAGTTCCCATGCGCTGGATCTGCTGGCGGATATCTATGCGGCGGTTGGCGAGAGGGAGAAGGCGAGGAAGGTTTTGGAGGTGCTGGGGAGGAGGTGGGATCCGGTTCGCAAGGGGTATTGGGACTACAAGGCTGGCTTGCTTCTGGATGACGAGGACGAGGAGGAGGAGAAAGGGATCAAGGCGGTTCCAGACGGAGGTCAGGGAGTGGCTGTTGCGTGATCAGGTGCATCTCAGTGGTGAGAGAATTAAGAATTAAGAATTATGATTAAGGGTTGGAACGTCCTAGTTATTCAGGAAACCGATCTAGCATTGTGGTAGTAGTGGGAAAACGCAATCAATGCGACTTCGAGCACCACCTCGCAGGGCTTCTGGCTTTTATTTGGTTTTGGCATGGGCGAGAAGCGAGCGCAGTGCACTTGAAGTCGAGCCCGAGCCCGAGTCCGAGTCTGAACCGTAGAGGACCAGGCAAAGATCAAGATCAAGATCAAGATCAAGACCGCCTTTCCCATGCTATCTTACATCCTCAATCCACCTGCCACCATATCCACTCCCCAAACCCCGTCCTTCTCCTCCAAACCAAGCAGCGACCTCGCTCACAGATTCATCGTCACGGTCAGGCTATTACTATGCACCATCAAGGTCGGCGGCAGCCCTCCGGTCAAGACCTCCAGATCACTCACGTACGCCAGACTCTCGCCCTCGGACTTGTAGGTGCCCTCCACCGGGGCGGGGAGGGTGGTGAAGATGACGGCTGTGTCTTCCGCGTTTAAGGTGATGAGTTCGTTGAGGATCAGGTGTTGGGCGCGGCAGGGGAGGTCGTTGAACGACCGCCGTTGGCTGCCGGGTTGGGAGGGCTTTGGGAGGTCATGGGAGGTCGTTGGTAGATTGATCTCTGGGGGTTTTCAGCTCTTGAGGAGGATGTGGTGGTGGTGTTTTCGTTGTCTTTGGAGGTGCTTGTTTCGTTTGGTGTGGGGCGTGGGGGTCGTGGTGGACGGGGCTCTTCTGCAAACATGCGCAGAGATTGTTCTGCTCCACATTCAGTCTTCTTCATCTCACAAAGTGCCGGAGTGGCGGCGCGCGACTAGGTGGGTGTGGTCTCTTTCGTTACTATCAAGCAGATCGTGCTGCGCTATTGGTTTGCGACCTCGAGGTGACTTTGATCTTTGCCTCGGCGATTGGGATCGCGGAGAAGTCACGTCTATCAGAGTGCTGTCGAAGTCTTCTCGTAGCGAGCTTGGAGCGATGCCGTAGACCTCGGACGCTGCCTTGTGAGCTGCACGGCGCAGTGATCGTTTCTTTGAGGAACGAGATTCCTTCGAGCTCGCAAGACTGCTTCGTTTGGAGTGCGTTTTCGATGCCAGGGGGGAGGATGTTCGGGCGACACTCCGGTGAGAGGGTAGCCCGCTCTCGCTGTCGCTCCGGGTGGCATATGTGCTGGCGTCTTCGTCGGAGCCCTCGACAGCGCTGTCACTTGCGAAGGACTCCTCGTCACTCCACTCCGAATCCTCGCTCGCACTTGCATGGCTAGCATGTCTACTGATCATATCATCGTCCAGCCGATGCGTTCTCATGCCCATGCTGACGCCGAGCCTGCTCAAGTTCGCCATTGAAGGTTTTCTCCGAGAATCATGAATCAACTGCCTCAGTCCTTCAAATCTGGCAATACTCTGTTCCCGTTTGCCATGTTGAAACGATGCACTTGGCCATGCAGGTGCCGCACTGCTCAAATCAGCGGCCACAGCAAGTGATTCCAAGGCAGTCAGCTCGCCTCCAGAAAGCTTCCCCCTGAGTCGTTTGAGGTCACTCCACCATGCTTCGTCCTCCAAAACCTTCTCCACTTGCTCCTCGATTTCAGCATCGGCAGAAGAAGAATCACCGTTGACGATCAACTGGTATGATTTGGCATCCCCAGATGCAAGCCAGAAGACCAAAATCTCTGCTCTGATGCGCAACTTCTCAAGTAGCGCTGCTACTCTCACCCTCTCTTCTTCCACGTCGGATTCGTATTCAACAAAGACTGCCACACGAAGTTGGTATGACTTTTTCCACGATGGCACTGTGTTGAGAATACAGCCAAGCTGCAGGATCAGCGTGTAGGTATCGAAGTTGGTGGTAAGTAGGTCTTGTTGAGTCTCCTCCGATTGTGACGAGATAGTCGCTGACATCTGAATAGGCCACAAATCAATATACTTCTTGGTGTTGCCTTCTTTAGGATTCGGAAGTTCAAGATCGTTGAAGCCAGTTGCAATTGCTACATTGATCTGGAGCTTAAGAAGCATATCTTCCAAAACCATGACATAGCTTTGGATGTCGGTTCGTTTCTCGACATAGCAGCTGTCAGTTGGCAAAGCACCCTCCAGTTGTTTGGTGGCGGCACTGCGCCGTCGCTTTCGGACTCCACCGTTCGGCTTGTCGTGCATACGAGACTTCCTCTCTGGCGGTGGAGAAGGCACGTCAACAAGGGGTTGTTCCTGTCGAAACTGTTTCAGGTTGTAAAAGCCCATAATCACAATGTTCGGTCTCATTCCGCCCAGGCCGGCGTTCAACACAATGTTCCGCGCTCCCCATTCTATGGAAGGCGATATAGCAACATCGATGAAGGCTTTGATTTTGGACAGATCGATATACTTGGCCCAGGCCGCCTGCTGTCGACGAGCTTCTGGTACAGAGGCGCCAAAATTCGATGTGACGATGACATGTCCGAGGATAAACAATGCTCCCTTCTTTAGTGAATTGCAGAACTGGATCAATTTGTAGCCTCGACGCGGGTCATTGACGAACAACAAAATCTGTGGCCGCCAGAATTTGACATGTTCTTGTTTGAGACGCAGAAGATACTTTCTTACTTGATGGTAGATGAGACTTTGACTGACATCACCCCAAGACTTGGGAGGTGAGGTATAGTGAATCAGAAGGAAAATGACAACGAGGATGCCCACAGCTCCACTTGCAGCAACGCCATCAACCAGGAACATGGTAACTGCGCAAGCAATCGCACCAGCTGCAGCTGTCCACCAATTGAAGTATCTGAATGACGGCCTGAAATTTGGCGCAGAACTGACCTTGAGCAGGAAGCAGGCCAGATTTGTGACAAGGAAAGTCATCAAGTAAGTCATGGTGATGAAAGAAGCGATACGATTGATGTCGAAAAGTATAGTAAGCTGCGCAACCACATAGGTGATGATAATTGCATAAGTCGGTTCATCGCCCTTTTTGCTTCCCTGCCCGAAGATTGACAATCCTGGAAGAAGGCTGTCCCTCGCTATGGCCTGCAGTAGCTTCGCAGGACCGATGACTCCCATTAATGCTGAGAAGAAGGTCGCGGCGAGCTCTCCTAGAAGTATCAGGACCCCTGAAATGTTTGTATCCTGAACGACGTTGAGATTGCTGTAGAATGAAGTACGTGTAATGCTTGCAGCCATCCCCAGTATGACAAGCGTATAAGAAATGAAGGTCAAGATCAAGCCATACATCGTACCTTTGGGAATCGACTTGCTAGGGTTCTTCAGATCGCCAGACATGCTGGCGCCAGCGAAGATGCCACCAGTGGCAGGAAATAAGACGCCGAAGAGATCTGGGAAGTTCTCGCGCTCCTTGAGCTGACTCCCAGCGGCATGCCTTGTGAAGTGCGGCAAAAGATTTTCTTTGAATGTTTTCAAGCTGAGACCCGTAAAATGGATATGCTGAACTGGGTCGTGATAAGGCTTTCTCACCAGGGCTGAGAAAGGTATGCTGAATGTTGCGAGAAGCAAAATCGCGAGCAGTCCATTGCTGCAGCGTGCAAATATACTGCTACCAGCAAGGCATATCCCGGTGCAAAGTAACAGAACAATGGTGGCCCACAAGTACTGCCACCAGAAGCCTTCCGGCAAGAAACAAAACCAGTTACCAGAATCGGCCCCGAAGTTGTAGATAAGGCAGTCAATCAAACCTACCGCGTTCATGCCGGTGTTGAACACAAATCCCAGATAAAAAACAACGCCAATCGAACCGCCAAACTCTGGTCCTAGCGATCTAGATATTAGATAGTATGCGCCACCACCTCTAACGGTGCCATTGGAAGCCACTGCCGAGATGGACATCGTAGTCACGAGATTGATGAGGTACGCCACAACCATCATGCCCATGATGCCCACCACACCAGCCTGTCCCAAGATGAACCCGAAGCGTATGAACATCAGAATGCTAAGGACGTTCAAGCTTGTCGGCACGAAGACGCCTGAATAGGTACCCAGCTTTTCGGAGCCTCCCACTGGCCGCGGGAAGGAGCCCATCTTCGGCGTGTCGGATCTCTGTTTTCTCTGCTCATCTGTACTCTGATGCATTTGCGCGGTCAAGGAATGGTCCGCAAGTCCAGTATTGCCGCTTTTCCTTCTACCTCCGCTTCTCGACCGATTCGCTACGTGTATGTCGTCACCTCCATCATATCGGCCTCGGAAAAGTCTTCCAAACAACCGCTGAGACAGGGCATGGGCTGGAGGAGGAGGCTCGTCATTTTCGGTCCGTGGCTCGTAAGGAATATCTGGCTCTTCCGAATGTGCAAGCTTGCTTCTGCGAGCTTCCCGGGGCGGCGAAGGTAATGAGGAGCGCCGTAGCAATTGATCGGTGGTATCTGTCGCTGCTCTTGTCAAGAATGTCGGTCTTCCACGAGGTAATGTACCAGACTCCAGTCTGGCAGATCCCATTCTGCTCCGGCTCCAGGGTTAGCTGCGCCCTTCTCCCACAGAATGACGGAAATGGGCTTCTGCTATTCGCATTTCGTTCCTCGAGTACCCCGCATGGAACCAATTCGAGGCGAGTTTGAACAGGAGAGAAGATGTTTCACACGCCTGACTATGCACAAAGCCTAGGACTCTTAGAGAACGTCTCTTTGGGGGGAAGATTGGATGCCCTCTCACTTGTGTCATCTATACATGTCATCTATGCACTGTGTTACCAGTTGTGCGAGCTTGGGGCCAGAAGCCAGAAGCGAGACGCCAGTCGCCAGGAAATGTCAAGAGGAGTAAAATCTGGGCCCCATCGGCCCAGCTTTGCCCCCATTAAGACAAGGTTGATGCTGCCCTGTGCTCACCCTGGTCGTGCGCTTGAAGCCGAGAGACTCGCTAACTTATCTTTGGTCTTGGGGCCAAATGTTCTGGTGCCTTGCGATGACGACATAATTTGACGGCCCACCTGCTGGTCACTGGTCAGCAACTGTGGTGGCCGTGATGGGTCTCCTGGACCGGCCCATAACTAGAGCACCCGCGTTGGCTCCAGAGCTAACTTATCAATGAAACGCGATCAACTCCAAAAGCAGCGTCTCTCACCTAGTATTTCTGGCCTGGCGTCCTTCTGCAATCTGAATGCTTTGCTTACTACTCTGTGCGTATGTTTCAATCTGATCACTTTCGGTTTCTACCTAGGCGGCAATTCTGCCAAACTCCAAAGTCTCAGATATATTGACGACTGAATCACACGCCGCTTTCACACAGCTCTGATATTCTCAAGTCTTCCGACACCTCTCCCCTTTTCATTATCAGCTCCTGTCGACTGCTCAACAAAATTGACACTCAAACAGGCCTCACTTGATGGAGAAATGGGCTCAACCATTTGCAGCCTCGACTGAAATCCCACGAACTGCTTCTCTTAACGATACTTCTCCATTTCCGTTCACCTTACATATCTCGGTCCTCTTCCCTCCAATCTGACTACATCACCCTTTCATATTATCCAGTTCTGTCAAAGAACATCCCGGACATCTCATTCTTGGTGCATCATTCTCAATATATTTCAGAGCGTCGAGTGATTGGCAGACGGAACAGGCGGCAGGGCTTTAGCATGGACGAGTTGCGGCATCAGAGAGGGCTTGGAGGCCATCTTACGAGCGAAGACTGAATTTCCGCACATGCATCCCCGTTTGGGCCCCGAGCACCCTTACCATGCAGGGGAAGTTTACTTATCTGTTCAGCATGTGGTTCCAGCACTTTTCCGAGAGGACTTTGCTGCGATCCTGTGTTTGAATGTGGCCCAAGGCCAGCATCATCTTCCGTTCTAGAGTTGAAACTTGCTAAGCGGGTTTGCCACCGGATCTCTCAGGAGCATCATTTATCTCTTGTTATTGTTGACAAAACAACCATGAGGAGTTTATATCTCACTAGTCCTGCTTTTATTAGCAAAGCTAAGCTATAGTATTCCGGACAAGTGCACACCTTATATTATGTCCAGGCTATTGCCTCCTTTAGTGCAAGTCGCCTGCTTTGCTTGCTAAATACCTCATCATCCCTCTGTTGCCGCATACGATGAAAAGATTCAGAAGGCAGGTGTATCCAACAAAGCTTAAAGCCAACAATCAGCAGAGCATGGTGCCAAATATAAGTTCTACGTTACACGCCAGCAGCATGGTTTCTTAAAGTGGAGGACAGCAGTACCTACTGCTCCGTCTTCGAAGCGTGACTCTAGGGATATGTACACCGCGGTTCTGGTACGACTTCGAGAACAAATCAGGCTGGACAATGCAAGGATACAGCGGAAGAAAAGCAACTGCCAGTACCGGTTCCCAAGCCATCAACCTCCCTTCGCCATTCCGTTGGAACTTTCTGTGATCCTCCCGGGTCAAGAAGACCAGTACCTTTTCCATGAGATCGTCGACTATGCCAGAAAATTTTATTGGCACGCTTTGGCGCCAACACAGCATCCATTTGCGGCTCCCCAATCTGGACCACTATTTACGCCAACATGAGAAGCTCCAAATGGCCTTCTATGCCTATATATAAGGTCTCACCAACATCAACACGGTATGCCAAGATTCTGCAAGTTACTTGGCAGGAGAAGGCCCTCTGAAAACTATGCCTAAATTACCATCAATGTGTGCTTAGTTTCAGCCTAAATGTGATATGAGCTAGTTTACATAGAATTATGTTGTTTAAGACGTTATTTTAAGAAAATGACGGTCAAATCATGGCTGAATTATGGTCATTTGAGCCTCCTGCCCATCCTTAAAATACTAAGGACCAATATCACGTCATTTTCAGAGCCCTTCTCCTGGTTATTAGTAGTAGTAGTAGTAGTAGTAGTAGTAGTAGTAGTAGTAGTAGTAGTAGTAGTAGTAGTAGTAGTAGTAGTAGTAGTAGTAGTAGTAGTAGTAGTAGTAGTAGTAGTAGTAGTAGTAGTAGTAGTAGTAGTAGTAGTAGTAGTAGTAGTAGTAGTAGTAGTAGTAGTAGTAGTAGTAGTAGTAGTAGTAGTAGTAGTAGTAGTAGTAGTAGTAGTAGTAGTAGTAGTAGTAGTAGTAGTAGTAGTAGTAGTAGTAGTAGTAGTAGTAGTAGTAGTAGTAGTAGTAGTAGTAGTAGTAGTAGTAGTAGTAGTAGTAGTAGTAGTAGTAGTAGTAGTAGTAGTAGTAGTAGTAGTAGTAGTAGTAGTAGTAGTAGTAGTAGTAGTAGTAGTAGTAGTAGTAGTAGTAGTAGTAGTAGTAGTAGTAGTAGTAGTAGTAGTATCTCCAGAGGCGCCAAGCCTATACCAAGGCCAGCGCAAGCACTCTCAGCCCTAGATGCGAATGTGGATAGAGTCGGGGCCAGTCTTCGAGTTCTGTAGCTCCGTACAGTGTTCACATTGCAGCAGTGAATGAGATCCAATTATCATGAAGTATGTTCAGCCATAATCAATAATACATCAGTTTTAGGCAGGGCTCCAAAGCGTGGCTTACTAGGGGCTTACTGGGGTTCACTAGGGGCTCCGGGCTTCCCGGCAACAGAAGCTTAAGCTGCTACGGCCAGTCCACTCCACTTGTTAAGAGTATCGCAGACGGGAGAAATACATACTACGTATTACAATGCTTGAATACGATATCCAGTCAGCAATATTGGAGTTTGTTTTGTGTTTGTGCGGGGCTCTTCAGCTCTGTGCTTCCACCATTTGTAGGCACCTCATTTTCAGCGGTTTGTGTATACCATCTGGTAAGCACCATGGTCAGAGTGGCTGCTAAGAGCAAAAACTTCCAGCAATCAACTTCCAGCGCCGTATCGCAGCAAGGCTGGCCAATGCGAAGTCAGTGGTCGAGAGCACGGGACGAGCGGTTAGTGTCATACTGTCCTACGCGTGCAGATGTGGTGCCACGCAAAAGCTGCAGAAAGTCGAGCATGCTGCGAAGTCGTAGACTGACCTCGGATTTCCGATGTCGAATCAGCCCGCCCAATCAGTGCTTAGCAGATTGTCGATAGGTTTCGGCTCAGAAAGGGCCCCTCCACTTTGCATTTGTTCGGAGTATCACGGATGCTGTCCTTCGAATACGAGCCCGAGGAGCGCTGGTCCTCTTAAATCGATGGACGACAGATCTCGCGTGGAGTTCGCACATGGCGCGCTCCCCGCACACGAAATGTAAGCTTGCTTTCGAGTAGAAATTGTGTATTGTGGAGCCTTGGCGCCTGCGGAGATATTTCATTTCTATTAAGTAGCAACAGCCTACACACACCCAATCCCTGCATTGAGCTGATACTGCTCTCCAACATCTGCGGGTGAAATTAGGCATTCCCACCACCTGGATTGTAGTTTATCAAGGTATCTACTTGGCTCACGTCCCCTTCATCAACCTCAGCATACGTGAATCTGCGTACAGAACGTGTAATCTGTGGACGTCATTCACTGTTGGTATATCAGCCGGGCTTGTAATACTTCAATACTTGGTGATTACCGCATACGACGACAGGACGACAGACTGAAATGGAATCTTCCACCAACAATTGCAACAATGGCAGTTGCTTGGACCACTATCACGCACAAGATCCTATCTTCGTAGATAGTGCAAGTCGAGCGCGATCCGAGGCGCGGCCAGTTGAGCAGCGAAGGACCAGCCCCGAACGACTGATGTCCAACTCTTCTGGCAGCCACGAAGCAGGCACCAAGGACGTGGAGAAACCACAGGATACGGTTTCGGGGCGTAACCCGGATGATCATGGATTCCGAAGAATTATTCTGAATTTCACTCCCTCGTAAGCTTTTCTCCGTCCAGTGGTTGGTCTACCAGTGGCTGATGATATCCATCTATGATATGAGACAGATGGTTCATTATCAACATGAGCACCGGAGTCATTTCAATCCTTCTGCATCAACTGCCTTATAACGGAAATGGCCTCCAAATCATTTCTATCATTTTCTTCGTCCTTAATCTTGCCCTCTTCATCCTCTTCACCTTTATATCTTGCCTACGGTACCTTTCCTATCCCCAAATATTCAAGGCCGTGCTTCGCCACCCACACCAAAGTTTGTTCCTCGCGACCTTTCCCGTGGGTCTTGCCACGCTCGTGAACATGATCGTCCTGGTGTGTGCACCTGCCTGGGGTGATGGCATGGCTACGCTTGCATGGGTCTTATGGTGGATTGTCAGTGCGCTGGCAATAACCACCTGTTTTCATCTTACGTTTGTGATGTGAGTAGCCTCTTTCAGTGTATATATGTATATACGTATCTATCTCTCTCTCTCTCTGTGGGCTGAGCTTCTGCCCGCCTCGCCTGCTCACAATGCTGCCTTGCTGATCTTGCCCACAGAATGTCAAACCGGAGGAGTGAACTAGGGGAAATGACAGCCTTATACCTCATCCCAATTGTCGCGGTCGTGATCGCCGCAACTTCTGGAGGCCTTGTTGCGGGGGCCCTTCCTAATCGAAACCACCAGTTGTGGACACTCATCATCAGCTATGTTTTCTGGGGTATCGGA